TATTTGACAGAGAGAGACACAGCGAGAGAGGGAACACAAGCAGGGGGAGTGGGAGAGGGAGAAGCAGGCTTCCCGCGGGGCAGGGAGCCCGATGCGGGGCTCGATCCCAGGACCCTGGGATCATGACCTGGGCCGAAGGCAGACGCTTAACGACTGAGCCACCCAGGCGCCCCCCATTGACAAATACTTGAGGCCGGCAGAGTATAATGTTCCTCCAGGAAGCTCCCAACTGTTTTATTTTTTTAAAAGATTTTATTTATTTACTTGGCAGAGATAGAGAGAGCACAAGCTGGGGGAGCGACAGGCAGAGGGAGAAGGAGAAGCAGACTCCCTGCTCAGCAGGGAGCCCAATGCGGGGGCTCAATCCCAGGACCCTGAGCCAAGGCAGAAGCTTAACTGACTGAGCCACCCGGGTGCCGCCCCCCCCAAGTGTTTTAATATTAATGCCTTGCTAGAGGGAAAAACAACCTTAGCTTGACAGTAGCCAGACCTCCAGGATCCTGTGAGTCTTCTTTAGCAGATAAAAGTCCTTTTGAAACTTCCCTTTGTCTTGATTTCCCCCCAACCCCAAAGTATATATTCAGTGGCCCGTCACAATCCCGGGGCAGCATGCCGCAGTAGCTCGTTCTGCCCACAGATCCTGTCCACCTGCTTTAATAAAATCACCTTTTTTGCACCAAAGACATCTCAAGAATTCTTCCTTGGCTGTGGCTCCGGACCTCACCAACGTTCCAAAATATCATTTCCACTGTACTTCCTCCACCCACCATGAGACGGACACGTGCCCTGGGTCCTCCTGGCCCCAGGCAGGTGCAGATGGCGCTCCCCCCACAAACCCAGCCTGCAGCCCGGAAATAGCCGTCGCAGCCCCAGAGAACTGGGAGTGAGAAAAATCAATGTTGGCAGGGTTTGGCTAACTTCTTTAAAGGACCGGCTACTAATTATTTTAGGCTGTGAAGGCCAGATGGTCTCTGTTCCAACTCCTCAACTCCGACGGTGTAGGACAAAGCAGCCATAGACAATCCATACACAGATGAGCGTGGCTTTGTCTAATATTTTCTTTATGGACATCGACATTTGGAGTATACACAAATCTCTCATGTCACAAAATAGTCCTCTTGTGAATTTTTTTTTGACCATTTAAAATGTAAAAACCATTCTTGGCTAGTGGGCCTTAGGGAAATAGGTGTTGGACTGGATCTGGCTCACTGGCCATGGTTTGCCTACCCACCCCCCTGCCCCCAGCAAGTCATTGAGATTCATAAGATTTCTTTGTTATACAGAGAAACAGATTAATACACCGTTCTGATCATGCAATCTTGGACAAAACACACTCCCTAAATCTCAACTTTTTCATTATAAGATGGAGGCAAAAGTAGAATATTTCTCTTAGAGTAAATGAAATAATGTATGGGAATTGCTTCATTAGAAGTGTTTAATCTAGGGGCGCCTGGGTGGCTCAGCTGGTTGAGTCCCGGGATCGAGTCCCGCATCGGGCTCCCTGCTCGGCAGGGAGTCTGCTTCTCCCTCTCCCGCTCCCCTGTCTTGTGCTCTCTCTCTCAAATAAATAAATAAAATCTTTCAAAAAAAAAAAAAATAAGTGTTTAATCTATTGTGATTTTATTCTATGTTCCAGTTGGTGGGCGGGGGGCGCCAAGTGAGGGAGTGTTTCCCTCCCCAGCAAACCACACAGTGGGGCTCCAGGGGATAATTCTCAGCATTGACGGGGTCTGTGAGGAGAGGCCATGGGGGATGGGCTTCTAGCTGGGGGCTTGCTGTGCTCTAATCTTCCCTGTTCTGCCCTCTGGACAGACCCGGGCATGAAGAAGGCGTCCCCGGGAGAGCCTGGCCTGGGTCCTTTGGAGTGTGGTGTGCATGCAAACATAGGAACTGCTGTCCACTTCCCACCTGGAGCATTCCCAGGACAGGACTCTGGCTGGAGCAGCTGGTGATGACTGGGCAGGTAGGGACTGGGATGCCTTTGCCAGAAAGAAAGGACAGGGGGTCCCGCAACCCACATCTTCCCAGGACACAGGAAGCACTGCGGAGCGCCTCACTGACTCCTGTAAGTCCTTGTGAATGATCGTGACACTGAGGACAGGCAGCAATTGTGAATCGCCCAGGGATGCCCCACAAAGGGTTAAGGGCCCAGACCATTGGCACGGCCTGGGGGACATAGGCGTCTTTTTGGAGGGTGTTCTCAGCCATGGGGCTGTCTAGCTTGAGTCTGAACATCACCCTAGGGAAGTCGGAGGGGGATGGGCCTGCCACCTCCATGGAGACCACCTCCAGGGCAGGAGCTCCCTGGGGGGCAGATGGAACCGGACCAAGTCAGAGAGAGCCAAGCCTCCAGCCCTTCCCACACCTGCCTCAGGCCACAGCTGCGCTTGGGTGGGGGATGGGACCAAGGACTCAGAACTAGACTGAGGTCATGGTTTGGAACCAGAGGGAATTTCTAATAACTGAAAGGGACCAGAAAGCAGGGGGTGAAATGTCAGCAGGAGATGGAAGGCGGAATTTGACAGAGTATGGCTGATGGCATTGATTAGAGAACATGTAAAACCATTTTATGTTTTTATGTTTATATCCCCGAGGCTGAGGCCGCTCCATAAACCAGTTACACATTCGATTACAATCCTCACGGTTTCCCTCCACCCCATCTCCCCACTCCCTGCCAGTGGGGAAAATGTTGCACACTGGTTTCTGCTTCTTGTTGGAGGAGGGAAGGAGAGGGAGAGAAGGGAGAGAGAAGCAAAGTGGGGTGGCTATTTGCCAGGACACACCTGGGCCCAGCACGTGCTACTTATTACCATCTCCCCTGAGCTGGTGAGTGTGGTTCCCTGACCGCCCACGGGATTTTACTCCAGGTTATGACCTACGTGGGTGATAAAAACGTGGAAACACAGCTCAAAAGACAGTTTACACTTCTGAGCCCAAATGAACCAAACGTTTGTTTTCTCTCTGGGTCCCTTTCCCTGCTTGTCCCCTTAAAAATTCCCATGCATGATCTGAGACCCAGTTTCAACCACGTCTTTGTGTTAATTGTATTCCTCAATTTGTTGACTTGGATTTACGCCCTACACACTTGGAAAACTTTTGCAACTTCCAAAACCTAAAAACATCCATGTAGGTATTTTTCTTGTACTTTGATGGTTTCCTTTTCCTCATTGAGATCGATGATCCAGCGGGAATTAACCTGGATATAAGGGTGGAGACAAGGAAGCAAGATTCTTTTTTTTTTTTTTTTTTAAGATTTTATTTATTTGACAGAGAGAAAGACAGCCAGAGAGGGAACACAAGCAGGGGGAGTGGGAGAGGGAGAAGCAGGCTTCCCGTGGAGCAGGGAGCCTGATGCGGGGCTCGATCCCAGGACCCTGGGATCATGACCTGAGCCGTAGGCAGACGCTTAACGACTGAGCCACCCAGGTGCCCCAAGAAGCAAGATTCTGAGACAAATCTGTGTTCCCCAGAATCACCTAATGTGGCCGTTCTCCTGTCGCATGCGACAGGTCCTATTTGCACAGCTGACATGCCCCTGGGAGCCTGTGGAGGGCTAACAAGACGCAGGACATGCAGGAGAGAGGCCAGGACAGAATGGGCAGGAGGGCTGCGTTCTCCAAGGCAAGTGGCAGAAAGAGAAGAGCAGGTGTAAAGACATGACCCAAGGGGCACTGCCAAGGCTAGGAAGTGGCAGCAGGAAGGACGGCCCTCACGACAGACAGGTTGGAGAGCTAACGGAAGAAGGGAGAAGGTTAGTGTCGTTGGCAGAGTCTGGCCAAAAATCATGCAGGACAGCCTGACTGTTGGAACTGTTTCTGCTGCAGCCAGGAGCAGTGTTTTGGGGGCAGCTCGTTGCAGAAGCAGGAGCGTGGGCTTTGGGGTCTGACATCCTGCCTCGGGCTTAGTCTAGCTGAGTCACCTTGACCTGGTTAACTACCCTCCTGCAGAAGCCTTCATTTCCTCCTTTATGAACTGGAAACAAGGCCTGTCCCTGGGGTTGTTCCAAGGATTAGATGAGAATTCTGTGAGCTCCCAGGACGGTGCCCGGTGCCAGGGAGAGGAAAACATGCTAGTTCATTTTTCTTCCCTCCCTTTTCCTTTGAATTCCACAAGAGAGAAGCTGGGGCTGGGAACCCAAGGATGCATTATCTCTTCAGGTAAAAAAGGTTAAAAGGCATTGTGGGTGGGTTGCTCTGGGGGCCAGAGATGGTATGGCAAGATTGTGGGTGTGGGTGTTATGAAGCAGGGATTCTCCATCACGGAGCCCCAATGGCACCTGTGTGGCCCTTCCCAGGGTGCCGTGTCTAGCCCGTGTGTCTGTCTGCCTGGAGGAAAGAATATGGGGTCCGGACCGTGGGGACGTTAGGAACCAACTTGGCACCAGTTGGTTGGAACAAAATAATTTCCACGTGGACCCATCTCCTGATTGTAAAATAGACACACGGCAGGGGCGGGGGGTCCGAGGAGCATGCAACTCCTGATCTCGGGTCCTGAGTTCGAGCCCCACGTTGGGTGTAGAGATTACTAAAAATAAATTAAAATAAAAATAAAAAAATGGGGTTCCTGGGTGGCACAGTCAGTTGAGTGTCTGACTCTTGGTTTTGGCTCAGGTCATGATCTCAGGGTTGTGAGATCTAGCCCCATGTCTGGCTCCACGCTCGGCGGGGAGTCTGCTTGAGGTTCTCTCTCTCCCTCTGTCCTCTGCCCACCTCCCCACTCAAATAAATAAATCTTTAAAATAAAATAAAATAAAATAGACACACCAGCAAAGCCGATTTGTGAAGGTTTATGAGCGAGCCGGGTTTACTGGAGCATCTCCTCAGCTCTTGAGAGTGTCGCTCGCTATAAACTATGAATCTGAATCACCAAGAGCAGATATGAATGGCCCCGTAGGTGTCGAAGAGCCAGGTCTGGAAATCATCTCAGAAAGCTATAAGAACATTAGTCGCCTCTCATGTTTCGAGGTTACGGCCAGAGAGACAGAGACAGAGAGAGACAGAGAGGGAGGAAAAGAGAGACAGACAGATGGGGGGGTGAGGGGAGAGAGAGAATGCGTGCCCTAAGGAAGGACTCTCAAGATAATAAAGTCCAATTCTTGTCCCCCTAGGGTTCTCATTTCTCAAGCTGCCACGGATGTCAGGGGATGTCCGCGCTCACGTGCAAACACAGTAATCCTGCAGTGCCTGTGCCCAGTGCCAGCCTGAGTATGGTCACGTGTCACCCATTTGTGCTGACCGGCTTCCTGCCACACACTGTCTTCAGTCATGGTTGGAGGGAGCAGCATGTTCAAACCCACACCCCCGTACGTGGATCTCTCTCCTTCCTGCTGGAAATGCCCCTGCAGACAGAAGGCGGTGGGACCAGGGAGCAGAGAGTAAGTCCAGATATGGTCTCTCTGCATAAGTGCCCTGACCGAAGGTTCTTCGAGCAATGATGCTGGGCGATCATGTGACGCGGGTGGACCGAGGGACCACCTGCTGGAGGCAGAGGGAAGAGGTGTCGGCCGCGGAGACCTCATGCGCTGCCGTGGTTCCGCAGTGGCCACTCGAGACACACTTCTAATCCCCCGGTGACGCCTTGCTGATGGGTCACCAAGTGTCATCAGTGTAAATGTTTTGGTCTACTGTCGGTTCACCCCACAGAGCTTGGGTTCCACGAGTGTGGGGGAGGATTTGTTTTAAATTATTATATCCTCAGTAATTAGAGCGGGGCACCGAGTGGTACCGAAGATATTTTGGGGAATGAATGAAGAAAGGAATCGGCAGGGAAGAGAGTGAATACTCCTGAAGGTATCACAAGACAGTGTTACCGGGACACGTTTACTCCACAGGCGCCAGAGTTTGAGAATCACGCCCCCATGGACCATGGCCCATTTGGGCATCTTTCCTTAATCAGCCCCAGCGGCTTGGGTGGTCTCCGAGGTCGCCCCAGGCTCAGACCGTCCCAAGGCTGCCTGCCTCCTCCATCACCCCTCAAGTTGTTTTGGAAATCTCCTTTATTTCGTTTTTGGGGCAGAGATGAAGACGGACAGGAAAGCTTAGCCTCCAGGCCCTCCGATTTGCTTAACCGGGTTCAAAGGAAAAGGCACTTCTCCAGTGGAGTGCTAAGGCTGGCTTGCAATTGCGTTGGTGACGGGTAAATGAAAACACTAAAGCAGCCCTTGGTGTTGAGAAAGCCCATGGGATCTGAGGGGGGAGTGGGATACACGCTTGTGGATAAAACACACTTCCCCACTCCTCGGTCCCTCGGCTTTCGGAGGCGGGAGGCGCGGGGACAGGGTGGCAGTCCCTGTGCTGCCCACCCGCTTCCTGACCAGCCGCATGGATCCCCCGCCCCAGCTCGGCTGGTGGGCTGGGAGGGGGTTTATCAGGGCAAAACACTCCAGCCGTTGGCGTGTTTTATGGGCTCCCAAACCGTAGCAAGTGGAAGAATGTTCTTCCCCGACGCTTCCCTCAGGACAGAGAGAGAGAGAAAAAATGAGGTTGGGAGAGAGGAAAGGCTTTTTTTTTTTTCTTCCAAAAATTGGAACCTCACTTCAGATGAAAATAATGCATCTTGAAGGTGGTGATAAGATAGAGGTGAAAATTGCCCTGATGTGTTTAAGACAACACCTCCCGCTTCTCTCCTGGCGCCCCTGTCGAGTGGAGTGGAGACGGTGTGCTCTGCTGATTGAGAAAACCCTGAGTCGGCAACATAAGCTGTCTTTAAAACATGGTCTCTGAGAACATTAGCCTATTTTTCTAAAGTGTCTAATTTCAAAGTTTCAACACGTTCTTTTTCTTTTCTTTCTTTCTTTTTCTTTTTTTTTTTTTTACAATTCCATGAGGCAATTGTGGGGAGCAAACCAAGTACGGCTGCCAATTAGTGCTGCGTCTTGCTCGCTTGTCTAACTGCTCCATCTTTTGTTAAACCGTAAATGAGGTTTTCCAAGCCACTTGGCTTCTTGGATGCTGTATATTTAATTTGCCTGGAACATTCCTGCAGTCCAGGCGCTTTTAAACCAGCATTTCATTAGAGCCCCCTGTGATGGCTCAGGGAGCCGGTGCACGGGGCGGGAGAGGGGTGAGGGCAGTCTGCTGTCTGGCTCTGCACCAGATCCTCCGGGCCGTCCTAGAGGGGCTGGAGGTCTCAGCCACCTCCCCCTGGTCAGCAGAGCCCTGACCGCCCGCCTTTCATCTTCCCCGAGGCTCTTGGGCAAAATGTGTCTTTAGCATACAAATGTGGCTGACCGCTTGACTCAGAAAAGCCTGACTTTCTAGAACATTCCTTCACACTCAGAACAACTGTTTGGACACTTGGCCCTCCAAGGCCGGCCTGGATGAATCAGGCAGTGCGGACATCTGAGCCCTGCTGAGCATGAGGAGTTTCCCCTCAGCTGAGGGGCTTGAGCTCTGTTGTACCACCCTTCGTGATGACAGCTGGTGCCCGGCGACCCGCAGTGCCTGGGGGCTCGCGAGAGAGGGTGGGGCCTGGGGCCTGATCTGGGGACACTTCATGGGGTAGGGACATCTCCCCAGCCTTTTAAAGATGGGGAGCAATGGAGCTGAATGTGGGAGGCGAATGAGCCAGACGGGGCTGACATTTTGCGGTGGGAGCAGGCAAACCCAGCGCGGAGGGCCCGAGGCATGAGTGCAAAGAATGGGACATCAGACACACGTGGAGCTTGTTCTTGACCCCAGGGTAAGAGGGGAACCCAATAATGCGCGATCTACTGCGGACTGAACGGTGTCCCCCCGCAAAAGACAGGTTTAAGCCCTAAGCCCCGGTGAATGTGATTTTATATTTAGAAATAGGGTCATTGCAAATGTGATCAAAGCAAGATGAAGATGCACTTGATGAGCGTGGGTTAGAGCTCTAATCCAGTGTGACTGGTGTCCTTGTAAGAAGAGGACACACACGCACGCGCACACAGGCACGCAGGCACGCACGCGTCCACAGGGCCAATGCCGCATGGACTGCCAGCAACTCTCAGGAGCCAGGAGAGAGGAGGCGTGGACCAGTCTCTCTCAGGGCCTCCAGACAGAAGCAAGCCCGCTGACTCCTTGGTTTTGGACATGTGGCCTCCAGAACGGGGAGAGAATAATTTCTGTTGCTTTAAGCCACCCCATTGAGTCATTTGTTACGGCAGCCGCAGGAAACTGATACAGCAGGGCTTCTAGCGTCTAACGACAGCCAGGAGGTGGATGGTGGCTCTTTTTCCGAGAGGCTCCGAGTGAGCAGCAGGGTCAGGATGGGAACGCTGGCCACCCGGCTCCCTAGAGGGCCAGCCCAGGGCTCTGCGCCTCTCCTGTCCTGCGGGGACACAGACCCACACCAGCCCCTCTTCCTCTGCAACACCTTCCTCCCCCGGACGGGGCCGACCTCTCTCTCCCTTCCTCATCCCTCTTGGCCTCTGGCGGGCAGAGGGGTGGAGCCCTCCATCCAAGGTTGGAAAAACCTCCCGCAGATGAGATGGGTCAGGACCTCAGCAGGATGAGCAGGTGCAGCTGCCTGCTCCTCGCGCAGGCCTCCAGGGCCACACCAAGCCTGTTGCTTTCCAGAGAGCTGGCCCTGGGTTTGCCCAGTGGAGACTCTGAGCTGGATCAAGCTCAACCATGGTATCGTTTTAAAGGTGCCTAGAATTCTGTCCTCTGCTCTGGAACTCCCCTCCCTGCGGTGAGCCTGGGAGCCACTAGATGGCAGTAAAGACCGAGCCTGGACTAGTCTCACCGACAGGGGATGGTGGAGGTGGGGGGGGCCTGAGGAGACCCAGAAAACCCCTTGCAGGAGAAGGGAAGGCACTCGAGCCACCTGTGTTCACGAAGGACCCAGGAAGGGGGATCAAAGGATCAACGTGTGGTGAGGATGAGCTGGGAGCCTGATGATTCGGAAGGAGGTCCTTTGGGGAGTCCACCTGGTTCCTCCATTCTGAAGCAGGTGGTTTTCCAGAGCCCCAGGTGTTCTTCGCAGGAATTACGGAGCCCGAGGCTGCTTGCCAGACTGTGCACATCTGTGTCAGGCCAAGGAGACCCAGGGAGATGGGGGCGGCACCACAGCAGGGCAGAGCGGAGGCCGCTGGGGCACACGGGCCTGGGGGAGAAGCCTGGCACCACTACCTACCAGTAGTGACCTCAAACATGTTACTTACCCTTTCCTCACCCGTGAATTGGGGTAGCCATGGCAGGGTCACACGAGACGGTGTAAGGGAAAGACGCACAGTACTTGGGGCCCAATGTAGCTCAGAGCATGCGCTGTGAGCAGCATCACCAACTTCATGATGCTTGTTCTTCTTTGTTTTTCTTTAAGTTTTTATTTATTTATTATTTATTTTTTTTTAGTAATCTCTACCCCCAACGTGGGGCTCGAACTCACAACCCTAGAGATCAAGAGTCACATGCTCCCCCAACTGAGCCAGCCAGGTGCCCTCATGCTCATTATTCTTAATGGCATAGGGTCATCTTAGAAGATGAGTCAGGTGTTAAAAAAGCAAACCAAACTAAACCTGACTCATTCGCGGCATGGTCCACACATAGGAAGTCCACCTTTGAATTGTGGTGTGGTCAACCGGGCCTCTTCCTAGATCCCTTCCCAGGGTGGCCCCTTCCCATGGATGGCTCAGCATTGTCTGCAGATGTACTCAAGCTCTCTCCCTGACTGTCAAGGAGGACCCTAGGTGCTGGGGCACCAGGGGAGGGGTCTCCACCTGCCTTTACCTGTGATGACTGAAAGTGATATAGGCGGTGTGTCTTCAAGAGGCCCCAAGGTCAAAACCAAGAGAACAAGCCTCAAACCAGTCATTGGCCTAAGGGCCAGGCTGAGAGTGGGAGCCATAGCGTGAAGCCATGTGGGAAAAGAACGAGGCCGGGCAGAAGGTCTGGAAGGCCACAGGGCTTGGAGCTCAGAGGGCTGACTGGCTGGGGAGAAACCCTGGAGAGAAAACATGGGGAGTGGCCACCTTGGGGGTCATTCTGCCGCTGGTTTGGATGGCTGGTTAATGAGGCTGAGCAGTGCCACGCAGGCTCGAGGGGGAGTATTGTTTATTCTCTGGGAGGATGTGGGGGCTGGGGGGCTCAGGGGTTAGGTTAGAGGCCTGTGAGTCCCTTCCAGGAGCAGGTCCACACAGAGCGTTCACTTTCAATAAATGCTGTATGAGAGAAAGTGCCAGCAAGTAAAAGTGCGAGGCCTCCTGGCCTTCATTCACTGCACGCACATTAGACAGGATTCCTCCAGGTTAGCTAGTTCATCCGATCTTTGGGAACCTGGAGAGGAGAATCACTTACGTTTGCCAGCATGTTTCCCTGGGCCCAAATCATGACCACCCTGTAAGATGCTTCGTGGGCTCTTTGGACCTGGCGTTGACAGTGATGAAGAAACAACAGGGAAGGTTAGTAAAGACATTTTAGTTCCTAAAAATAAATATGACAATACTAGTTACCATCTGTCAGATGTATATGATGAACCAAGCATTTTGTGTGCGTTACCTAATTTAATTCACGATAACCTGCTCAGATAGGAAATGAAACAATAACTCTCATCCTGCAGATGAAGAAACTGGGTCCAGAGGGTTGGTGGAAAGGCTTTAGGTTGCAAAGATTGCTTAAGGCACAGTTCCACTTTCCCCAAATATCTTGGGTCGAACCTTACACAGAAGATCACGTGAGGACAGCTCCATAGATAAGACAGTCTGGGCAACGCTGGGTTAAGTGCAGTACAGTGGGGCCCTTTGCGGCAAGATTTTCCCTTCCACTGAAGCCCAAGTGGGTCTCTGAGAAAGGAGGGTATGGAGGGACAACGGTTCCAAAAGCTATTCGGCCACAGAGCCTTCCTGGGAACGGCTGGTGGGACTTGGGTTCTAAAGCACACACTTTGGGAAACACTGCTCCCTTTGAATCTGGAAGACTGACGCTCACTGGGGGGTTAGCCGAATAATGGCTCCCTAGAGACGTCCTCCCGATCCTGGAACCCATGGAAATGTTAGTTTCACGGTGTGCAGGAAGAGATTGACCTTGCCCAAAGAGAGATTTGGCCTTTGGCTTTTGCCCTCAGCTCCTGGGACGTTACCTCTGAGCTCTTGGAAGGTCCTGTCTGATAAGAGTATCCTTGTTTACCTGGGGACCTTGGGCCAGCCAGATAGTCTTTGATAACAATGAGTTTTAGGGTTGGGACTTTGGGCCACATGGTACCAGCTTGACCTCTAGAGAAGCTGCAGACTGAGGTCAGCCCTGTGGACAGTCAGCGAGCTATATTGACATGACTGAGACCCAGTGAAAACTCTGGACCCAAGGCTCAGGTGGGTGTCCCTGGCTGGCAATACTCCATGTATGTTGGGAGAGTGAAGAGCTGTCCGAATGGTCCTACTGGAAGGACACCAGGAAGCTCACACCTAGCTTCTCCCGGGCCCGTCCCCACCAGCCTCTTCCCAGGGCTGATTTTAATCTGTGTCTTCTCACTGTAAAAAACCATAACCATGAGTATAACAGATTTTTTTTTTTTTCTAAGTTCTGTGTGTCTTTCTAGTGAATTATCAAACCAGAAGGTGGTCCTGGGGACTCCCAAACTTTGCACATGGCAAAGGGACTTTGCACATGGCAAAGGGACTTTGCAGGTATAATCAAAATTGGTAATCTTGGGCACCTGTGTGGCTCAGTTGGTTAAGCGACTGCCTTCGGCTCAGGTCATGATCCTGGAGTCCAGGGTTCGAGTCCCGCACTGGGCTACCTGCTCAGCAGGGAGTCTGCTTCTCCCTCTCCC